CTTCAGCAGCAAAAGAATACATTTGACCTGGACCTGTTCTTACTCCGGCAATCCATGGTAGTGCCTGGAGAAATCATCTGTCTTCAAAGTTCAAGCTTGCTGGCAGTATCAGATAGGATGGCTCATGAGATCTAAAGAAAATAAGCCCTGAACTACACTGTTTGGTGATCAGATATTAATGCCTTTTTTTTTTTTTTTCCAAAAAGAAGCGGGAAGGTTTGTCCTTGTAATGATGACTAGAGTACACAAAATTTGCAGTCTGGCTCATGGAAAGGTCCTGGAGCATTACACTGATGTTCAAGAAGTTTGCACCTTACTGTAGCAAGAGCAAAGTCTGAGTCCTGTAGACATTAATAGGTCTCAAACATACTTAATTAGGGAAGACTTCATCCCACTGAAAGTAAAGCATGGGATTAAGAATTTTGTTGAATATGAGCCTCCAAAAAACCTGAGTTGTATTGTTGCTCTGGAAGTAATGGCCACAGGTATGTTTTTATATCTCCAAAGTAAAAAATATTGCTAATTAAAAAAGACCATTTAGATTATGGTTAAAGAACTCCTAACAGAAGTATTTGCTATGGGCTAATAACAGTTGTAACCCCCTACATTAACTCTATATGCTAAGCTCTGCCTCAAAATGTGCATGGGCAGTTTCCACTGCCGCATGTAAACATAAATTATTGAATAAAGAATAATTGATTTAGAATTGTAAAAGATCAGTAGCCTTGCAGAGAAAAAGGACAGCAGTAGACAGATACATTTTAAGTACTAATGACTCTGCCATATGAGAGTAGCTTTACTCAGTGTATAATGCATGAGTGGTAAAATAGGTCAAACCCTGGAAGCATCCACATGTTTGAAATCATTATGAATACAATGGTTTTACTGCATCACCAATTGCATAAGAGCTCCAAAGCAAAGGCGCATGTGGAATGCAAAACATAATGAAAATCCTTGCTCTTGTGTTGCAGATTAGAAAGCTACTAGAGATTTTGGATCCTTTCCCAAATTTAATACAGTTACTTTCCTGTGGTCAGTGCTTCTATGTTTTCATTTTTGTGTGAGGATTTTGCTCCCTTGTTCTTTTTGTACCATTCCTAAGATTTCAGCTGTTTGTGGTATAGAAAATTTGGCATATTAACAATGATAGTCATTTTTATTCAAAGAAAAGTGTGGCCATCCCATTTATATTCTGCTAGAGCTTTCAGGGATGGGGGAAGGCTTCATCCCATGACATCCCATCCCCCACAAACAGAGGAAGCTACTTTGCTGCCTACCTACCACTACAGCTATAGCTATGTCAGTGCTAGGTAATGAAAAGGCTTTGTTATTTAACAGGCAAATAATAGAGAGCCTTTGTGCAGGGATAATTACAGTGGTTTGGATATTCCTGGATTAACTCTTGGGATGAACGTTCATCTCAGTAAACCACTAATAAATATACATTAGCACCATGTCTCTCTAAATTTTATACTCTAATAATTTTGGTCATACTACTCGCAAGTCTGTCTGGGGCTGATTATGAAGTACAGGCTTCAATGCCCTTTGCCCATCTTTGCTGTATCACTGTAGCACAACAGTCAGAACTTCCCACATCTTACCTCAATCAATTTGTCTTCTGATAAAGCAGCAACAAGGTTGCATAGCTTGCTGGCTGCTGGGAAGAGTGACTGGCAAATATTTGTACAGCACTTTGAAGAAGTAGGACCTGACTTATTGCAGCATTACTTCAGTTTTTAAATCAGTATTAACCATTCAAATGCAGGACACTATCATATGAAAAAAAGCAGCTGCTGAGAACCAGGCCCATAAAGGACCATGTGCCATTGTTTCTCTCCTTGCACTATTTTCGTATCTGTTATTTCTGCCGAGCTACCATTTGTTCAAGCCAGTTCACCATACAAGTCGATAAGGAGTTTCTGAGAACAAGGGACGGGATGCAGGGTGGTGACAGGTACCAGAGATGCCCAGACAGAGGAGCAGGAGTCACCTTTGCCTGGACCTCTTGCTAGTGTGAAAACACTCAGGCCAAAGACTGGTTTCTATGGAAAGATGAAAAGTCTTGAAATCATATAAGCAACCCTAAATACTAATCACAAAGATGTGCTGCATCTCATACCTTCATAATTTATGTTTGCGGAAATCAACACAAGATTTTGCTGTATACAGGGCTCCTTCTTTTATAGGATGACCCACAGATACAGGTAATGACATATTTCCCAGTACTGTTGCCCTGGACCTGAGCTCTGACTGAAGAGTTTTTGATGAAAATGAGGAGGCCCAAGGTTCAAATATTTATCTTATACTTACAAGCAGTATTATTTAAAGTAAATTATGCTACCTGACAGCTCTTTTTAGTCAGAAGGCTACAAAACAGCCCTCTTTGAAGAAAAAGTAAGACACAAAAGTTTTTAGAGGGAAATGAAGAGTGGGAAAGTACTGCTATTATTATGGACTAAGAGTGCTATGAAATTGCTGTGAAAATCGGAAATCCATAATTTTATTGCCAAACCTGGTTTCATCTAAAATAATAGTCATTAACAGTGGAGATGGAAAAAAAGACCCATTAGGTCATTTTACCTATCTTCTTGTTAATTAAGAGTGTCTTCTTACAAGGGTTTTGACTGTTTTGTTCATTTTAAAAATAACTAAAGCAATGAGGGTTCAACTCATTTTTTGGGAGACCGTTCAGCAGACTAGCACACCTCACTGCTATGAAATTTTTCCTCATTATCAGCATGGATTTTTCTTTGTTCACTCTCATGCCGTTATTTCTAGTTATACTTGGTTAGACTATTTCTGTATTACATCAAATTCCATCATTTCATCTCACATATGTATTTCTTTCCCAAGGCAGATATTGGGCTAAATCTGAGCTTCAGTCAAGAAACTGGATGTAAACTCATAGTAGTGATTGGCTATAATAGGTCCTATTTTCACTACATATTGAGCACACAAACAAAAAGCATTGCTTTTTCAATTCTAAATGGGAAATCTGAAAATCAATTTTTTTCTTCAAGGATTCTTTTTTTCCCCCAAGTATATGACTGCCTGCTTCTCAAATCCACTCAAGCACTTAAAAAGCAGCTTCCCCTCCAAGAAAACTGAACTGACATTCTGGGGTTGCAAGTCACATCGTAGTTCACATTTAAAGGGAAGGAATGTCTTTTATTTACTACAGGACTAATACCAGACATATCTTTGCTCAAATAGTTAGCTAAAGGTGAATATGTTCTCTGCAGAAGGTCACAACAGGGTATGTACCACTTAGGTCTCAATTACACTCTATTTATACCTGAAACTTTCCCTAATTGGGAGATTCTGGGAATTTTTCTCCATTTAGCTGTATTTTGGATATTTTACTCTCTCTTGGAGAAGGCATTTGTAGAATTAAATATTATCAATAATGGTGTGAAGTAGACCTCCTAGTGTATAGCAAGACAAAACTGTGTAGGCAGTTAAGTAATATTGTTAACTAATATTATGCACATTGTCCCTCTTTATTTTCACCCATTCTCAGGTACCTAACACCTTTAACATTCAATCCTCTGTAAAAAAAAAGTAAAAGCTTTACTGAAAAATCTTTTTTTTTTCTCTCAGAGAACAGTGAGTAAAACCCATGAATAAAAATACAAGTTTTCCAAACAAGTGGAAACAAACCACCAACAAACAACTGAACAAACACATTTCAGAAGCCTAATATTATCTCTAAATTGAGCTGATGAAATTATAAAGATGTTTCCTGCTGTTTCTCTGATTTATCCTTTTCTTTGAAACACATTCTCCATAAAAGGGTATTGGTCTCACCATACCACGTTCTTTCAAGCTGACAACTTTTCTCAAGAGGGGAAAAAAACCCCAGGACAAAATATTCATGCCTGTAGTCACATTCCTAAACCCATGGCCAGATACCCCAAAGAGAAACTAAAACTTATGCAGAAGATCCAGTCATATAATCATAGAATGTTTGGGTTCAAAGGGACCTTAAAGATCATCTAATTCCAACCCCGCTGCCATGTGCAGGGATACCTTTCATTAGATCAGGTTGCTCACAGCCCCATCCAACCTGGCCTTGAACACTTCCAAGAATGGGGCATCCACAGCTTCTCTGGGCAACCTGTTCCAGTGCCTCATCACCCTCTAAGTAAAGAATTTCTTCCTAATATCTAATTTGAATCTCTCTTTTAGTTTAAAACTGTTCCCCCTTGTCCTACCACTATCTGCCTGTGTAAAAAGTTGCCTTCCCTCATTTTTTGTAAGCCCTCTTTAAGTACTGGAAGGCCACAATGAGGTCTCCTCAGAGCTTTCTTCAATGCTTCTGGTTAGTAAGCCATTGCTTTTATTTTGTTGATAATTTTCAGGGAGGAATAACTGTGTTAAAATACATTTCGAGATCCTTGTTTCCTGTTTCTGGCCAACTCCTCCCTTCTGTTTTGCAGTTCAGATAGATGATTTATAAACTGATTTATAAACTACAAGCTTATTGTCTTGTCCTCATGAAAATAAGGACTGTCTGTTGTTCTTGTGAAAATAAATTCATTTTGCTCAGCTTTCCCAATATATACACATGCTGGGATGAAAGATTACTATGAAGTCTCTGGATCTGATCAGCTGCATGGCAGTGAAGAGAATTAGTGGATTACAGGAGATAAAAATTTAAAGTGAAAATAAAGAAATGCTTAAAACTACATTAAAGCACATGTGCATATCACAGGAAAACCCAATGTATCAGCATTCTGGAGAATGGTGTAGCAAACCTGTAAACTTCCTAGGCTTGTTGTATATATGCCAGACCCTTGAAATTAGCTAGTGTGAAAAATGTTCCTGTAGTTTCACTTCCTCTGCAGGGTCTTGGGTTAGGGTTTTGGTTTGTGGCGTTGCCTTTTGAGGGTGTTGGGGTTTTTTTTTCCCCTCTTTAAGCAATGAAAAATGCAAGGGAAAGAAATTTACAGTTCGAGTTCCTCAAAAAACAGGTTAACTATTCTCCTATACATTCTTACCTTGTGTTTGTCACCATTTCCAAGCTCTGTCTATTACTTCACAAAACTGCTTTATCATTCTCTCCTGAGAGCAGGGTGGACAGTCTGGGATCTGTTTTAGAATATGTTTAAGTATTACATACACATTTATGTTGTATCGGTTTATATTTAAAAAAGCAAGTTCAGAAAACTGATGGTGGTAGATTTCACAGTAGACTTTAGATCTTCTAGATACACCCTCTACAGTTCTGGGCTCCCAAGAAGGAAAGCTCTGTCACTTATTAACTTAGTGCTTGATGTCCTAAATAAAAATATGAGCCAGAAGTGCATGCAAGGGTTGCTCTCAAAGCAAGGCACTCCATTTCTCAAGGGCCAAATGATGCGTAGCACTTTTTCCAGCCAAGGGACTTGGGAAAGAAAAGCCCAGGTATTGCAGCCCAGGCTGTGATGAAGCTTTACCTTTCTTCTACTCTTGTGTGAATGAGAGTAGGGAGCTTTGGAGTATGTTCTTACAGGCATGTTTTTCCTAATACTCATATGTCCCCAATATTCCTTAGGACCTTTTAGGAATCTTTACATCAAAAAATGTGTAGTGGTTGAGACTGCTGACACACTGCAAAATGCAGGAGGGCTCCTTGGGAATATGATTCTCTCCAGCCCGCAGCACACAAAACTTAGGTAACTTCCTAGCTCTCGGGGAGATTACTTTGAAACTGCATGAAACAAATCATTCCACCAAATAATTTCCACAGTCAAAAGCTGGCAATATTAGTCCATAAATCAAACCTGTATTGCATTCAGTCTCTCTACTCTGCTTCTCTCCTTGAAGACATGCAAGCAAATCCAGGCTTCCTTACTCCAGACAGTAAATACCAGTCATTGCCTTCTAAATTAATTTGAGAAGTTTGTTTGGTTGCAGTTATACCAGGGGATGAAAATTAAGTTGTTGTGACCATAAGATCCTTCGATTCTGAAAGTACAGTCAAGTCAAATATTTAGATTTGTTTCTGGTGTCTGCTGTTTCTGGTAAGCACTAATGTTTTCAAGAAGTCCGGTAGATACACTTGGCAGTCTTCCTTTCACTCCAGAAAGGATCTTGTGTCATCACTTATACCCTAAAACACAGAGGCTCACAGCAGCAATGGAAACTGACCTTAGCAACAATGTTGTTGATGTAAGTCAACAGTATATATAGATTTATATAATGTCTTGACCAAAGCTATACAAGTACTACTACAGTTTCAGCTTTTCGACAGTAGATTAGGACAGTAATAACAAAAAAATTAACTTCATAAAACACTACAGTATGTTCTTAGCAAGATTCTAAAAAAATCTGGTGAAATACCAAAGCGATCAGTCTTATTTTATCTTTGGGCAAACTAGCGGGTTAGGTGGCTTGAATTTACTATAAGAAAGTCTTGTCTTACTAACTGTATCTGACCAGGCCTTTCTCCCAGCATTGCTCGCTGCAGGGCAGCTCCAGCAAAAGTGCCTGTAGTTCCCAGTGCAAACTGGTAGAGACCAGTTCACAACAGGTTCCAGGACACTGTTTTGTCTAAAACTATTCAGCCATTCTGTGCAGCAAAACAGCTACTATCTTAGACCTCCTGCTTTTGCTGTGACCAGGGCGCTGCATTGCTGTTAGCAATGGGGATAGATAGGGACAATTTTCAGGAAAAATTAAAAAAGAAAGAAAAAAAATGGGAAAACCCTAATGAAGGCAAGGGCACGGAAGCAAAAGTTCAAACCAAGTGGCTCCAAAGTGCTATTACTAATTTCAGAATCCTTTAAACCTGTGAATAAAAGCATGAATTCAAATTAATCAATTGTCTTTTAAAGTCGCTGAGGTAGCACTCTATTACCTGTGCTTTTAGAGTGCATCTCAGATGTGTCATTCAGGCTTTTGAAGACAAGAAAGATACAAATGAATCACCTTGTTACAAATTAATCACCCTGGGATTACGGCTAAAAATTTCAAAAGCACCTTAAAATGACTTAGAAATCTAATTCCTGTTTTCGGAATTCACTTAGGCAGTTACATCCAGACTCTAATCAAAGTCAACGGGATGATAAGTCCTAAGTCACTCTAATACATCCGAAAATGTTACCTGCTTCTATCTGTAACACAACAAGCCCCTCTGTATTCGCGTTTGCCCTTCAGTGAGTGTCCCAGGCTTCTGCTTTTTCATCCCTCATTTCCGTCCACATTTACCATATGTTGTGCTTTCATTTTCATTAAACATTTTGAAAGATGGAGGTTTCAAACAGTGAGCTACTCATTCATTCGTCTTTCCACACAGAAACCTAGCATCAGTAAAACACCAATTTCAGACATTATTTTTAACTAATGAGAAATGAAATGTTTTTCCTGACATTGACAGCAAAATCCATCCACCTATTTGTATATTTTACATGATGATACAGCATGTGTTACTGTCATATCTCAGACTAAGCATACATTTTGGTCTTCTCCCAGTTATATGTCTTTTTCATAAGTTAATGGGCAATCATAGGATAGACAAAGTTTCATTTGAGTCCTAAGGGGGTAAAGCAATAGTTGAGCTATCTGGATGATACTGCTCTTCCATCGACCAGATTATGATAAAGTCCCTTTTCTTCCTTGGGGCATTGGAAAAATCTTTTAATTCTCCATGTCTGTTCCCCTCCACTCTGTGTCTGTCTTGTCCATCGCATCTGCAACATTATGTTGGTAGCACTTCTGTCATAAATGTCTGATTCCACTATGGCACAAACTATAAGAAATAAAGGAATACACATGTCTAGACTACACCTATTCAAAGGGTATATAAACATAATATCTTGCTTTCTGGTATAAAAAAAGACGAGCTTCATAGTGCTAGTGAATGGCCAGTTAGAAAAGGGAATTAAGATAGGGCAGAGAGGCAGCAAACAAAAGCAAAAATCACATCCAGATCTGAAGGAAAATTATATTCACAGTAAATCAGCAGTTACCCTGGCTTTCAGCTCAAGATTTCCCTTCACCCACCCCCCACACCCTTGTTTTTTCATTGTTTACTTTTTAGTTCTTTTGCCCAAGACTGTTGTTTTCACTCTTTTGTCATCTTCCCTAGACAAAAGCACAGGATTTGGGGAAAAGGATTAGGGAAAGGGAAATTCCTATCCTGACATTTATTTCTTCAGTGACCTTGACAAAGTCACTTAATTTATTGTTTCCCTTACTGTAACAAAATGGACAGGAATAAAAATGAAGTCTTTTTCTAACAAAATGGACAGGAATAAAAATGAAGTCTTTTTCTAACAGTCACAACTGCTTTGTGATCCAATCCTGTTTGCTGAGTTTGCTCTAAAACCCCAGACTAAGTTAGTACAGATTCAAGCTGTAATTGTTATCAGTAATGCCTCGCCTCTCCCCTAGACACACTTTCTGCAGCGGTCAATACCTGTTCAGCAGCCGGTCATGGTGGGAGAATAGGAATCGCCAGAATAAATGCTATGCCCTTTCTCCCAAGCCTGTTGCATCTCAATAAACTTTGCAGTGTGTCCAGCAAAGGAAGAATTCAAAAGGGTGGTCCTAAATCAGGACTCTGAAGGGCTTTGCATTCAGAATAAGACACTATGGGAGTATCATAATGACAGCTGCACTTACATCACTGAAAATAATTATTCTGATCCATGAACACAAGCTAAGCCGTAAGAATGGTCTTGTAAGCAAGGTCTGTTTTAATAGAAACATAAGTATTATGCATTACAGTCTATTATAAATTGGTTGTAATTTTCTCCTGACACTCTGTGAATTAAACTAGTTAGGATACAAAAAAAAAATAACAAATGCCACAAAGCAGAAAGCAAGCTCAGTGTCTGAAGGTTAATGATTGCTCATGAAAGCTACAGAAATAAATTATCTGCCTAGGGACACTGTCACATGATCGGCACAAAAGCTGCAACAGCCGAAAATGTTTATGTAGAGAAAAAAACATTGTCAGCATCACAGCGCCCTTCCCCCACTGCCGGAGCACAGTCCCGAGCCAAACAGCTGCTCCTGACTGCTTACATTAAACTAATTTGTGCTGCAACATTGCAGCTGCTTAATTTTTAGACTGAACTTTATCACCAAGAAGTGTTACAATAACAAGTGATGCAGCCCTATCTCTGCAGAAATAGCAAGTTCCTCAACAACAAAGGCAGCTTAAGGTGCTGAAATTCAAGAAAGCAAGCAGGCCATGACCAAAGGAGTATTTTAAATCTTAATGACCTACTCTTACTGGGAAAGTAAAAAATAGGTTTGCTTCTAAATTAATTGGGGGATCAGACTGTGCCCCTAAGCGGACGCGGGCACCTCAACATCAGGGATCAGTGACCAAGAACATGCCATAGGCTTATGGAGCAGGAAGGTGGAAGCAAGGTGAGGTACTGGGGCTTCCAAGGGCCACCCACCCTTCCCAGGTGGCCTCCCCTACACTTGGTGTTGTGAGATTGCACTGCAGAGCCCCATCACTTGCACCACCTTCCCTGCAGCCTTGCCCCTTCTCTTCTCCAAGCCCCCACTGGTTTGGGGTTTGGTGTCCTGTAGCACTGCTTGCATGTCTTTCTGGCCACAGATTCACTGGTGTCTCCTTAAAACATTTATTGCACTCAACATTTAAAAAGTACAAGTTTAAAAAAAAAGGGAAAAACCCTAGCTCATTCATATCCCAACAGCTTGAAAGCCCTGACCTCCTCCTCACCCCTCCCGCTGCCTCCCCCCGCCCCAATCCGAAAAAATGCATTCGAAGGCAGTGGCATCAGAGGAAGTGTTTACAGAGAGTACTGCGCCTTGGGTAACGCAAGTGCTGCACTTACAAAATGTCACATGTTGGTCCTCCCCTTTTCCTCTGAATTATTTTCCTCTGTTAACATGCAGGGCTTCGTCTTCTGCTGAAACAGACACTGACCTGAACTGGTGGTGATTCCTGCCAAATATGCAGGCACTGTTTTGCTACATTTTGGAATTCGGCGAAGTCCATGTGTCAGGCATTTGCTTGTGCTCAGGAAACGCCAGTGCTCAGTCCAAAGCCCTCCCCGCCCCCTCCCGCCCCCAGTGCTTGGAATGCACAGAAACTTTTCAGTTTTTAATTAGTTTTAATATGATTAATGTTTTTAGTTGCATATCTTGTTACATCCAGTATGCTTGTTAAAAAAAAAAAAGGACCATTTAAATGTGCTGGTCTTAGTTATTAAGAAAACAAATGGAGACAGGGAGAAGAAAACCCACCGAGAGAGCAATTATACAGTTAAACAAAAAAGCTGTAGTTGCTCGCAGTGGTAACCGGGTTGCAGATAGACTGTTGTTTGCCTGTGTGCCTGTCTGCGCTTGGGGAGGAAAAGAGGCATAGGGAATTGGTAATGCGAAAAAAGGGGTGCTCCAACTGTACACCCCACCTTTCCCAATCTTCCAAAGACCAGCTAGAAGGAGGAGATGCTAAATGAAATTATGACTCCTTTCTGTTCAATTTAAAAGCATAAAATAAATGCATAATCCCTTGGTGGGGTGGGGGTTGGGGGGGAGGGAAGAGGGAGAAGGGGGGGATGGCTCTTTGGTTTTTATCAAAATAACATTAGTCAGACTTTTACCCAACAGCAGGAGCTGATGGTATCTGGAGTCCATTTTATTCCACCCCAAATGTGTAAGAATAGGGGTGATTGGATAAACAGGTCCCGTGGGCTTTTGCCTGCTATTCATGGAGCAAAGCTGCAAATGGAAAAAATATTATAAAAAGAAAAATTGGGGTAAAGGAAAGAATAGCAAAGTCCCTTGCTCCCTTATCAGATCTTCCTCTCAAGTTTGGCCTTTAAACCTGTAAAACTTTATGGATTTCTTAAAAGAACACCTCTGAAAGAAAAATGTGAGGGATAAGACCCAACTACAAAACTGGAACTCTCATCTGTACAATGCAGACAAGCAGTGTGAGGGAATAACTGCAAGGAAATAAAGTGTTAAGGAGTGGTTTGGATTAGGAGTTTTAGGGAAAACAGGGATATTGGAAAAGGAGGCCTATGGCAGAATGCAGAAGTACTAGAAAACAAAAGGAGGAATCAAAAGGAAGAAGCAGGACACTCAAAAGAATATAGGTAGAGATTGACTTATTAAATAGGATTTTCTTAAGTGAAGGAGCTTAAATATGCAGTGGGATTAAAAGCAAATATGGGGATTCAAGGATAACTTGCAGAAAATTTGAATTTTCTCTGAAATTTCAGAGTCAAGAATATCTTTCCAGATTTAAAAAAAAAAAAAAAAAAAGAACAAAAAACACTCCACATAAAGCTATTAAAAATGGTCCTTTTTATAAAACTCACACTGAGCACAGCCTCCTTGTGCAGTGCCAGGAGGATGGGGAAAGGTATTACCTCAGGCACAGGCAAGAGGTTCACCTCCTCCAGTTAGGTGGGCCCACGGGCAGTCAGCTCTGCACTCTCTCTCTCGTCCATGTCCATGCCAGGTGCCTCAACCAGTTCATTATTCCAGTGGAAAGGTCAATGTTCTCCTGCCACTCAAATTCTCTCCTATTACCTGAAAATATTCCCAGACAGATCCAGATGAAACTAAATATGTGTCTATAAAAAGATTTGGTTTCACCGAATCAACATTTTCCAATATTCTTCAGGAAAATCCCAGTCCAGCATAATATTCATGAGTACAATTAATAACTCAGTCAGGTATCTACACAGCCTGAGCACATGTACACATTTGTACGATTCACTTATGATTATACGGACTAATTCTTTCCTTTACTCTTCTTCCTCCAGACACATTTGCACACTGACAAATCATTTTCTTTTTAAATCAATCGGCCAGGAAAAATGTTTCCTCCATCTGCAGAAATTCCTACACTCACCATTCAATAAATTTATCCAGCTGTCCTTGTAGAGTGACATGGCAAAATAGCACATTCAGTAAGAGCCGCGTGACAAACTAACTGTGTAAAAAAACACCTATATCAAGGATATCTGATGTCTGCATATTAATCCTGCTCTCTGGGACTTATTTTAATATTTCAGAGTCACAAGAAATTCCAAAAATCTTTGATTTTATTCCTCCACAAATTACTTCTAAGGACAAAGGCAGACAAAGTCTATATCAGAGAAATTTTGTATTAATAAAAATCATAACGCTTCTACCAACGCTGTCTCCGTACAATCCTAAACATCCACTGGTCAGATTATGTGACTAATACATCTGTTCTAGAACAAGCAGCAATCACAAGTATTGAGGCCATGTTGCTGAGAACGCAGCTGCGTTGGACAGGGCACGTCTCCAGGATGAAGGACCATCGCCTCCCTAAGATCCTGCTTTATGGTGAACTTGCCACCGGCTGCCGCAAGAGAGGAGCCCTGAAGAAAAGATACAAGGACTCCCTGAAACAACATCTCAGCCTTGGCCATATTGATCAACACAACTGGTCTACTATGGCCTCAAATCCGGAGGTCTGGAGACACACTATCTTTAACGCTGCTGATGCTTTTGAGAATGCACACAGGATCACTCTTGAGGAGAAAAGACAACACAGAAAGAATCGTATTTTGCAGAACATATCACCTAAGGAGTCTCTCTGCTGTACCTTTTGCAACCGGACATGTCTATCTCGTGTTGGCCTTTTTAGCCACCAGCGCGCTTGTAGCAAATGTGGGTAGAGCCCTTCCCAAATCTTCATTCGCGAAGCCTAGCCATGATGAAAAATCATAACTTAAAGAATGAAATTTTTCCAGTCTTGTAAAGCAGAAAAGGTAACTGAAAGGAGAAACCCCTTCTTTCCCAACAGGTCCTAGGGATTGCATCTAGCTCTTAAAACTCCTTGAAATATCAAATTTCAAACTCCCAATACTTTAAAGTTATTTTTTATGGCTGCCTCAAAGGCCTGGGATAGATATACAGGTGGAAAGTACCAGAGTTTACAAGCAGAAAGTAAAAGGTTTTTTTCAATTTTTTTAATATAACTGCTTTGAAAATATTTTTTTCTCTTGGCACAATACATGCATCATATTTCATGTACAAAGTGCAATGATACAGGGTAATATTCATAACAGCAAGAGATGACCCACCATATTTTAATCATTAATAATGTGGCTGTCCCAAATTCACTCCAAAAAACCCACCTATTATGACATAATGTATTCTCTTTATGTATGTATAGAATAAATATAGAACTGTACTCTTCACTGTCTAAAACTTAATTTAATTTCCATTTAGATCCTGCACAAAATGTACCACATTTACTTTTATTTCTAGCAAGAATATATGCCTTATTATTTCTAACCATAACATAAGCTGAAGCAGTAAATAAGGTATGCAGTAATTTCTATTTCAGAACATTAATGTTCACATGTATTGTTATCACAACGTGTTATCAGCATATGTTTTTTTGAAAGACAAAATAAGAACCAATGTATATTAAGAACTAATGCTGTACACCTCTTGTTTTATGCAGCACTGAATTTCAGCCATAAATTTTGTGTTCAAGTTGCTTCAAAATGTTTAGGGATAGGGACGTATTAGGATTTTGACCAGCTCTTGGCTTTTGTTCTTTCTCTCTTGAAAGAGAGAATAAAATTCTCTATACCTAACCCTTTGGAGTCAGTTGGAGCCTTTCAGCCACAGCTAAGCCTCTCCAGCAGAAGCAGGTTTGCTTAGTAGTCATGAATATTTCCTGGGTCATTAATGCAATATATACATTTAGGGGGAGGATAGCTCACATTGCTTGTTCCATCAGTATCTCCCTACCTAAGTCAGGTCCGTTCCCTGAGGCAGACCATATGGGACAAATGGAGGTCTAGTCAACTAATTCCCATTGCAGGAAAGATGTTTAGATCTAGATTCTTCCCTCAATGTTTCTGCACTTCATCTAAGCTTATTTTCACAAGCTGCATAATTATGCAGCTCTTGTATCTATCCTCTGTAGTCAATGGAGAAAGACAAATTGCTTCAGTGTGCAACCCAGCCCACATCAACCAGACTTACAGTCTTTCTAGATTTCTCTGTCTCTCTCCCTTGACTGCAGAGAAAATCTAAAAAAAACCTAAGCTCTGATCTTTGGCAACTTAGTTAAGCACCTAAATTTACATAGATCTAATCTTTGCCTCTAAGAAAATTTCATTGTAAAGAAAGCTTTGATGAAAAATGGAAATGAACTTTTATGAGAATTTTGTTATGATTGTGTTCCTTTTATCCAGATCTAATTAAAACCAATAACTTCATCTTTAGTCAGAAGCTTTGAGCTGTCAGCAACAAAATGTCACAGGACTTCCTTAAGAACCCACTGCAATAAATCAAGCAGCCTTGCTAAGTTCAGTTTTGAGAACTCAAGGTAGTGCTTGTTGAAGGAACATTTCCATGGACTACTCAGAAGGTAAAAAGGTGTTTCAAGGTGGGGATCTGAAATAAATAGGCCTATTTGCCTTATCAGCAGGAAAAACACAAATGAGGGGACATGTGCCACAGCAGTTTTCTGACTAGCCAGAACTAGGCAAGGTGTCTATCAAGCACTGTCCACCAAGGACTATAACTTCTCCCTTCATCAAGCACCTTATTTTATGCATATGTTGGAGATGAGGGATTTCTAAGGTGATTCTTAAAATAGACCTGTAGAAAGTGCACTGAAGTACAGCACCCAACAATGCCCTTTGGGACCACCCAGGAAGAAAGAAAAAGTACCTCAGGGCAACCATTTTCACATTTGCTTTGTGCTAGGGTGGTTCAGCTGGGTGAACCATGTAAAGCTATGCCTGAAAGAATGGCTGTTGAACAGGCCACTTACCCATACTCTATCAATAACCTCCAGCTCCAAAACTGAAAATGAGACATGCTTGGGCAGCTGGCAAGATTGTCAGAGTTGTGCCATCAATTCTGGAGAAACACGAGCCCCACATCATTGCCTCTGTAGCTGACAAAATACCTCTTCCTAGCAGTCCTTCACAGAGCATTATTAACTGCCTAAGTAATGCAGTGAATCAGCAGTGGGTTTCATTAGTCAGAAGAGACAAAGGTCCAAACTGATGGTGCCCTGCAAATG